TTAAAAGGCTAAGAAAAAAGCTAAAAGAGAGTTTTAAAAAAATGTTTGAAGAAATTAATTTGCTGAACGGTAAAGTACTCAAATGTCATTACAAACATATCGTTTTAAAGTTCTAATATTTTATGTTTTTAGAGTACACTGTCTTACTTGTTCATTGGAAAGTTTTAACGAATATATTAATACTTGTTTAAAAAATAGAGAGGAAGATTAGTTATTGTAGGAAGCCGTATTTTATCCGCTCTAGATAGAAATAAAGGTGACCCCTCTTTACAGATCAAGAAGCAAATCACTGGGCTCTCTATCTCTCAGTGTCAGAGTTTCTTGATAAAAGATCCTAAAGATTGTAAAAAAAGACAACAACTAGCAAAGATTATAAGAGAAAACAATAAAAGAAATTCCAGCAAAACTAGTTAGACATTTTTAGCAATAGAACTTTCATAGCAAAGATAATATAAATTGATGTAGAATTTTTTCAAACTTTTCAAACGTATTAAAAATCTTTTAAAAAGACCTTGTCTTCGAAATTAATTGTTAGTAGACTTTTTCTTGAATTTGGTATATTTGATATTCAAAATGTGTTCAAATTTTTTAAAAATCTTTAATATTTGAAAGACTCTTTCTTGAATCTTTAACATTTGGCAGACTTTTTCTTAAAAAGAATTTATTACGAAGAGTTTACACAAAGACTCTTTATTACAAAGATTTTGAACTCTTACTAGAAAGAGTTTGTTTACAAAATTGGTATCTACATAGAAAACATTTTAGTTGTCCTTTTCCTATAAGATATTTTTCTTAGTTGTTATTTTCATACAAGAACCCATTGGACCCATTGGACCGAGCGAGGGGATGGTTCTTATTAGAAAGAAAGCATTGGTACCGTACTGGCTTGGCACGCTACGACTGATACTGCACTCCTACCATACCTTCTCTTTTTTTATGGATAACATAGAGCTCTATATAGTATCCCCCTCCCTACTAGGACAAGTTTGGAAGCTAGGGATACTAATTCGCATTGAACTGAGCGAGGGGATGGTTCTTATTAGAAAGAAAGCATTGGTACCGTACTAGCTTGGCACGCTACGACCGATACTGCACTCCTACCAAGCCTTCTCTCTTTTCTTATGGATAACATAGAGCTCTATATAGTATCCCCGTCCCTACTAGGATAGGTTTGGAAGCTAGGGATACTAATTCGGGAGCAAGACTTTTTCTTTGAAAGTAGTTTTCGTAATAAATTTTTTGCAAGAAAATTCTTGTAGCAAATGGTGTTTGTCAAAGAAAGAAAATGAAACACTTTGAAAATGACAAGTAAGAAAATTTTCTACGTAAATTGACCCGTTTCGGTTTAAATGACAACTAAGATACAACTAAAATCTTGTATGAAAATGACAATTAAGAAAATTTTCTTCTAGGAAAAGGACAACTAAAATATTTTCTACGTAGATACCAATTTTGTAGACAAACTCTTTCTAGTAAGAATTCAAATTTTTTGTAATAATGAGTCTTTGTGCAAAGTTTTCGTAATAAATTATTTTCAAGAAAAAGTCTACCAAATATTAAAGATTCAAGAAATAGTCTTTCAAATATTAAAGATCTTTCAAAAATTTAAACATGTTTTCAATATCAAATATAACAATTTAAAGAAAAAGTCTACTGCCAATTAATTTTGAAGACAAGGTCTTTTTAAAAGATTTTTAATACGTTTGAAAAGATTAAAAAAATTCGACACCAATTTATATTATCTTTGCTACTAAAGTTCAATTACTAAAAATGTCTAACTAGTTCTGTTAGAATTTCTTTTATTATTTTCTTTTATAATCTTTGCTAGTTATTGTCTTTCTTTACAATCTTTAGGATTTTTTATCAAGAAACTCCGACACTGAGAAATAGAGAGTTCAGTGATTTGCTTCTTGATCTGTAAAGAGGGGTCACCTCTATTTCTATATAGAGCGGATAAAATATGACTTCCCATAATGAATAATCTTCCTATCTCTCTATTTTCTAAACAAGTATTAATATATTCGTTAAAACTTTCCAATGAACAAGTAAAACAGTGTAATCTAAAGGCATAAAATATTAGAACTTTAAAACGATATGTTTGTAATGGCCTTTGAGTATTTTACCGTTCAGTAAATTAATTTCTTCAGACATTTTTTCTAACTCTCTCTTAGATTTTTTCTTGACCTTTTAAAGAAGGCTTAAAAGTTAAAACTGTAGCCAAAAAGATTTTCATCATATTTAAAAAGATTTTAACAAATTCCCACAATTGGGACACAAATTAGCTAACTTAACTTAAAAATTACTTTATCTTTTGGCCATGGAATCCAGAATAAAGAGGCTAAGAGCGTTAAAAATATATTTTTTTGAAATTATTCAGAAGCAAGACATTTTCTTTGAAAGTAGTCTTTGTAATAAATTTTTTGCAAGAAAATTCTTGTAGCAAATGATGTTTGTCAAAGAAAGAAAATGAAAACACTTTGAAAATGACACGTAAGAAAATTTTCTACATAAATTGACCAATTTCGGTTTAAATGACAACTAAGATGCAACTAAAATCTTGTATGAAAATGACAACTAAGAAAAATTTCTTCTAGGAAAATGACAACTAAAATATTTTCTACGTAGATACCAATTTTGTAGACAAACTCTTTCTAGTAAGAGTTCAAAATCTTTGTAATAAAGAGTCTTTGTATAAATTCTTTTAAAAAAAAAGTCTACCAAATATTAAATATTCAAGAAAAAGTCTTTCAAATATTAACGATCTTTCAAAAAGAACTTGTCTTCGAAATTAATTGCTAGTAGACTTTTTCTTGAAATTGGTATATTTTTCCTTTTTCCAATTGGTACAATGTATTCAGTTATAAGATCATGTGTTAATCCAGAAGCATACACTCATACTATTACACAAGTCAGAGAGTACGCCAATCATTTCTTCCAGTTAACAGAAAAAAAGGCCTACCTCTGTTCCATCTGTTATTAAGTCCTGTGGTGGGATAGGTTCGTATTTATTCAAAAGAATGTTACTTATTGACACTCACTTAACAGAACATCAATGCAAGCTCTTTTCGAAAGCAGAAAATATGCAAGTATGCCCAGTGTCCCTTCAAAAAATTGGTCATTCAATGCCCAGTCATTTCCAATTCATTTTGTGCTACCTCAACTTACCCAGTTATATGTATAACTTCCTGGGCATCCAATTCTGTATATTAATGTTTGATAAACTTCCCAAGGAAACAAATAAATGCATTTTGAGTTAGAAATTGTCATGTATCTAATGTATCCAAGACAAAAGAATTCTAAACGCAACAAAAGAATGATTTACAGTTGTGGAAACACATATGATGATATGAAAATTGTCTAGAATTTTCTGTTCAAGTTTGCATATGTCACAATTCACTACACATGATGCATTGCCCAAAACAATGAAAAATGAAGATGAACTGGCCTCAAACAATTGAATTAGAGAGTGAATTTCAACCACTGACAATTTTATTAAAAAAGACTGCAGTAGTGAATCGGAGAAGCTAAAAGGACCCAATTTAGGTGGAAAGTGGCAACCATAAAGTAATAAAAACACATCTATACTTTGGAAAAACCTAGTGATGCAGCCACATAGGCACCTGTGGGTGCACCACTGGAGGAGGTGGCGATAAGGGGACTCATGGCCTTCTTGGGGTGTGACTCACTTAAGTTCTTCTAACTTAAGCGCCAAGCTACCAAATTAATTAAGTTTCTTAAGGACTTTATGCTACCTAATTTCTATTGCATTAGTAGTTGTTAGTTGGGTTCTTGAAGGATTCTTAATTCTCAAAGGACCTCTATATCAATTAGGATTTTATAGTTGGGAGTTATTTAAAGGATTGTTCACCTTTCATTATTTTCTCAGTTTTGATGTTTTAATTAAAAAAATCTGAAGATTTTTTCTTGAAAAGTTACTTATTGGCTTTAATTTGTGTGCAAATTATTGTTCAAGAAAGTGTCATTCTTGATTATGCTTCCTGCTATGTTACCTACCATCCAAGTTAAGTACTAATCACAGGTAGTTCTATGAAAACATTGTCAAGTTTTGTTGGCTGAACATTGCAACTTAACCCTTTAGGACTGAGAAGTTTTATGTATGAGCACCTCGATCCAATATCTAACGAAGTTACAAGACACATGTGCAGTGTTGTACACCTATCATAATATAGGTCATTGAGCTGCATTCTTGTTTGAATAGTTTATATGGAATAATACCTAATTCTTAAAATTTGTACTCTGCACATAGATGTTAGATAATCTTATGTTCAGATATGTCCATTCCCAGTATCTAATATGAATCATAACAGAGTACAGACTATATTCATAAGTACTAACCATATTTTACATTCTACGTGCAGATAAAAGGCATCTATTAAGTAATAATCGAAAAGGTAATTACACTTACAATATCACAAACATAATTCACTTCCGTAACCATCAGAAATTGAGATAACGAACCACGAGTACAGTATATAAATCAGAAGATACGATTCTTCAGAGCCAAAACTCTTTTACAGAATTTTAATTCTATGAAATATTGTATCTATCGATACTCTTGACTTTCCTACAAAATTGAGATCTTTGAGCATGATTTCCACAGTAAATTAACAATTCAATTTAAGAAAGCAAAATCATACAAGAAAACTTAAATTTTTATTATATGCACTATATAGTATCAAAATTAGGTATTACTTCCCTTAGAAACTGAGATAAGCAACCTCTAAAACATCATATTAAACGGAAGATAAAATTCTTCATAGCCAACACTCTGCAACAAGAATCTGATTATAACAGATATCATTATTATCAAGTCTTTGATTGTTTTGAAAAATTGAGATCGAGAAACATTATTTTCCATAAAAAATAAAAAAATCGAACAATAAATATACCAACTTTCTATGTGTGGACATAAACACGTAGACATCAATTCCAGTATATGTAAACATATGCATACGTGCATACGTGGAAAAAGGAATTACCGGAGGAGGATTTGGGATGCCTTTGAGGAAATTTGATGCGAGGGATTCTCTTCATCTCTGCTTGCGACTGTTTCTTTTTTTTCCCCCTCTTTATATAAAGAATATTTCAATTTGCATTTTAAGGAAAAGATAAAAATATGATGAGTTAATTAAAGAAAGGTCCGGATGCTTTTGATTCCGCTGCTCGCACCCACTTTGTCTGAAACTAGGATTTTTTGCTTTTCAAAATTTTGTAGTATTTTCAATATTTTTATTATAATACGTGAAGTTAAATATGAGTTATATGTCATCTAGAATCCTACATAGTTAGTGGTTAGTGTTTACGAAATATTACATTGACTCAATGCTCACGTCATACCTCATGAACAACGTTGGAGGACGGCCTATCCTTTTATCTCGATACCTTCTACAAGTAAATGATTCATATATCGCATCTCGACGCAATCTCGTTCAGATGTCACAAAGCTTGGTACCCAACATAGAGTTAATAAATCATATGCGAATGGTGCAGACCACTTCTGACCGATTTATGTAGATGATAGGTTGAACAAAAAAAAGTGCTAAATCAAAAAATTGAATCGAAATTGTTGGCTTGATCCACTGAACAGATATGTTTCACAAACTCAAATTTAGTGGCCAAAGTGAATCTCTTAAAGTTAAATGATCAAGATAAAATTTTGCTGAAAGTTGAGTGATCTAATTGAAATCTTGCTTAAATATTTTTAAATGATAATAAAATAAAATAATCACATCTTTCGATTCCTACCCAACCACCCATCCCTAGAGTAGATAAACGTGTGTGCCTCGATTAACCATTTTCTAACATCTAAGGGCAGAAGGACATTAGAGGTAACTATTTTGATAATATTTTTTTTTTAAAAAAAACTTCTTTTTTTGTATATTTGTAAAATATAATATGAAAAATTTGAATGTTATTATGGTCGTGAGAATGAGTTTATAACTTAACTGGTAAATGTCTTATTTCGTGGAAGCAAACACTTGTGTTCGAATCCTAGAACCGTAATATTAATTTTCCTTTTTTTTTTTTTGGGAAATTTGCACAATTAATGCTTAACTTTCAGCCTCTATAACAAATACACCTCCAATCATTAAATTGAATTTTTCAGTCCCCAACCTTTAGTTTCTATTAACATTATTTGTCCTTTTTACATAATTCTATCAACTTCTTTCCTCCCCCAACCTCAGAACCCTGGCTCGCCCATATAGCCTTTGCATCCCACCCTCGGCCCATCATATGTATGTATGTGGGAAAAATGAAAAATATATTAGTAAAATTATCAGTTATGCTATCAGTATTTTAGAGCGACTCATCTTCAAGATTTTTCCTCATATTTAGCCTTTGTTTGGATCTTTTTAAATTAAAGCTTTTTATTTCTTTTACTCATTTTTAATCACATACTTATTCAATAAAATATTTTGCACGTAAATTCAAAACTTGTTCCTTTTTAACAATACATTCTTCAAAAAATCACTATTCAAAATATTATTTTTCCCCAATTCTCTTTATAATAGCCATCAAATAGGGGCTACAGTTGTTAAATGGATCGTGATGCTATTACAAGTCTCTAACAAAATAAAGATATTTCATTTGATTGTAACTATATGTAATTTTAACAAAACACGAATAATAATATGATCAGGCCCAACAGGGAGAATATGTTGATAAATGATAATGTTGATATTTTTTATACCACTCTTGTTTCAAGCGTATAAAGAATTTTGTATAAAATTATAATAGATATTGAAGGTGAATGATGTTAGAATAAAGCTGCTTGGTCAGGGCTATGTATAAAGTAGCTCTCAAGATGATATTAGGGTGGTTTGGTTTAAAACTTTATGCACCTTTCACAATATATTATACAATTGATATGGTACAAATGATATTGAAGAAACATTTTTTTTAATTGTTTTTTTTTAATTCTATCAAGAACATGAGAATACTCCTAATACTCCTGTATCTATTGAATTGATATGTGTATTAATTATGTTGGACAAACTATTTACTTGGTACTAAAAATGGATAAATAATATACATATCATTTTAATAGTGACATAGAGTATTATAACTTCCTTTAAAAAAAAAAATGACACTCATTCTCACTCACCCCCACCCCCAATTAACGAGTAATCCTAATGTGGGCGGATTTGGTCAGGGAGATGCAGAAATGGTAGGGTTGGACAAAACTCCCGAACCGAATCCGACGGTTCTTCTCAAGTTAAATATCCGAACGGGTATTTGAATCAAGAACCGACGGGTATGATTCGGTTCTCGATTCTAGGTCAAGACCCGAAAAATCGAATAAGAACCGAATCTCCGTAATTTTTTAAATTAATTTATTTTAAATAAGTAAAATTATTTTATTTTTTCTAAATAAATTTATTAACTAGTTAATTTAGTTCAAACCACAAAATATGATTTTTCTATTTCTAATATTCAGTTCAAAATCGACTTAATCAAATTGACCTCAATTTTATCCAAATCTGTTATTCTACTGTAGTGTCATTTCTACCAGAGAAAATCGAATTAAAACTTTACAACATCTCTCTTAATTTTTTTGAGCTCGCTATCTTTCTTTTTATGTAATTTTAATAATCAAATTTATGAAGAATTCAGCAAAGAGAGACGTGAAACACATAAAATTGAACTACGTTATTTTGTAAGAGCTAATATTAAATATATCATTAATTAAATTAACGTAACTTTGTATATATTAAAAAATTTAATTATAATACGGAACCGAATGGAACCGAATCAGACCGGACCGAACCGAACCGAATGGAACCGAACCCGAACGGTTCTGCAATTAAATTTGGACCAGACGGTTCCACTTACTAAATACCAAAAAATTTCAAGTTGGTTCGGTTCTCGTTAGAATCGAACCGAACCGGACCATATCCAGTCCTAAGAAATAGTACTTTAAGATTCATTACATGTCCAAAGTCTTTTGTCCTTC